TAATTGGGGAAACAAGTTAGACCATATGTTGAAAGTTCTAATCTCTCATATCATAGCCTCTGCTGAGGTAACTTTTCGCCAGTCAGTTTTATCGTTTTCTGGTAGGTACTACCACATTTCCAATTTGTCATGCTTTCCCCTCTTGCTGTTAATATTTTCAGCGTTGTCCACCTGTTTCTGGAGTTGAAGGGTCAGTGGAGTCCCACCTGCGTACTTTAGGTGAACGAGAGCGCTGGAATCTTGATATTTTGTTAAGAATTTTGGTTGACTTGCTTCCTTATGTGCATCAGAAAGCAATTGAGACGTGCCCATTTTCCTCTGTTTCAGAGTCAAATGGGACAATATTTTCCAGCTCAGTCCTTGAAATGTATGCTGGGTAAGTTTTTCCTTTTCCTTTGGTTTCTTTTTCCAAACTTGCATTTTCTTTTATATATCTGACTTATGAGATGAGTATATAAGCTGAAATGATTTTGATTGATTTTATATTCTACTAGGGGACATGTCGAGTGGCCTGCATTTGAGTGGATGCATGTGAACTGCTTTTCTGGTTTGATACAATTGGCTTGTGTGTTACCCCAGAAAGAGGATAGTTTAAGAAACCGAATTACAAAGGTATTTTGTCAATATTGCATTTAATGGGATTGATTTTCTTCTTTCTTTATGCTTCTTCTATTGAAATAATGCTGTTTCTCTTATTGCTAAACTACATCATGACATTGCAGTTTTTATTGGCTGTTTCTGAACGTTTTGGGGAGTCTTATTCGACACACATAATGATTCCTGTATTCTTGATAGCAGTTGGGGATACTGCTGATTTAACATTTTTCCCGACCTACATTCATTCTAGAATCAACGGTATTGTCTCCTTGGAATCTTGTTAACCATTTGTTCATTTTGTTGTTGCATGTTTCGTGATTGTTGCTTGGTTGCAGGTCTGAAACCAAGAGTAGCTGTGGCCGAGAGACTTGCTACTCTAGGTATCCTGCCACTTCTCTTAGCGGGTGTTCTAGGATCTCCTGGTAAGCGTCAACAGTTGGCAGACTACTTGAGAAAGCTATTAGTTGAAGGCGTAGCAAAACAGAATCATTCTCCGACATACAACAATGATATTGTTAATGCTGTCCGCTTCCTCTGGTTTGTAATTAAAAACTCTAGTGCTAAGTTTTTGTTATTTATTTCTAAATATTCACGTAGAATCTACTTTAATAATGCAGCACATTCGAAGAGCATCTTAGCTTGATATTTGATATCTTGTGGGAAATGGTTGTAAGCTCGAATATAGAATTGAAGATCGGTGCTGCTAATATATTGAAAGCCATTGTATGTTTCTCTTTCCTTCAAAACAACTTTGTCTTGTTATACCTCACAATAAGATACTTGCGTACATTGTAACAGGTGACATATGTTACTGCAAAAGTTGCATCCACACATGTTCTGCCTGCCTTGATTACCCTTGGCTCGGACCAAAACGTGAATGTAAAGAACGCAAGCATAGATGCATTTGGGGCTGTGGCACAACATTTTAAAAATGACATGGTACAGAGGGTTTTATTGTAATTCATGCTGATGCAGTTTCTACACATCATTCTAACGAACAAATCATGTACAGATTGTTGATAAAATACGTGTTCAAATGGATGCTTTTCTTGAAGAAGGTTCTCATGAAACAACCATGGCTGTGGTCCGTTCGTTAGTGGTAGCAGTTCCAAATACAACAGAGCGATTTAGGGATTATATCCTTGACTTTCATGTGAAAAACCAGTTCTTAGCCCTTCATGTTTGAGTTGTGCATTATGATTTAGCCATTTTAGTGCTTTCCATTATCCAATTTTTCTGTGGAACTATTGTTTACTTAACATGATTTACATTTTTTATCCAAGATTTTCCAACTGTCGAGCATGCCTGTTTTTGCAACTGATATGATGTCTCGTCGACAGAGAGCTAATGCATTTTGTGAAGCCATTTGTGCTGTGGATACGACAGGTTTGCTTCTCTTAGTGATTACAGTCATCATTTCTCTCCCTTCTATGTTCTCCAATATTTTGTGTAGAAAGTAGGTATTTTGGTAAAGAGATTTTTAATTTTATTCTCTTAATTTTCTGATTAAAACTGTACAAGTATATTAATAGGCCGAGTACATAGTGACCTACTACGACTAAAACTTATTTGTTCGTAATCTATCTTTACTTTAGATAAAATAAGATTATTTACAAGATAAGATAGAGACAAGACTTAGAATACATATAGTAAGAGAATTGTCTTCTTTTCTGGAGACACCTTTAGTTTGATCATACTGACATTGTAGAGCACAAGACTTTTAATCTTGGGGTTGTGGGATCGAGTCCCACGGGGGGCAATTCATAATTTGGAGGTCTTCACGGAAGCTGCTCTCAACCTGGCGTTGGTGGCATCCTACTATCCTACATCCCCCTTACCCCATTACATATGGGAATTGCTGCCATTTTTAACCAAGGCTTTGGTAAATCTGTCGAACCAGGCTCTTGGAAATTGCTTCAAACTATACAATGATTTCTTCAATTCACATACCTTATGATTTTTAGAGTATCTTTCCAAGCATGGGGGAATTTCTATGTAGACATCTTCTTCAAGGTTTCCATTTAAGAAGACATTTTTCATTTCTAATTGGTAGAAGGGTCAATCTTCATTTACTGCTAGTGACAATAATACTCTAACAGTGTTCAACTTGACTACTGGTGCAAAGGTCTTTTGGTAATCAATTCCATAAGATTGTATGATTCCTGCCACCAATTATGCCTTGAATATTTCAGTACTTCCATCATAATTATATTTAACTGTAAATATCCATTTACAACTCAATGTCTTCTTTCTGGAGGTAGATCAATAAGGACCCATGTGCTATTGTTTCCTAGGGTCTTGATTTCTTCTTCCACTGCTTTCTTACATTCTGAATGTTCCATTTCTTTTTGCAGTCTTTGGGATTTGAATTCTGGCAAGTGACATGGTGAATGTTTTGACTGATACATTAATTTCTCATGTGCAATTTACCTCTGAATAGGATGGAATGTACATTTTCTAACCCCTTTTCTCAAAGCAATAGGTGGCTTGTACATTCACTTTATTAGAATGTAGTAAAAATACATTTCTCTATATTTTTCAATTTAAAACCCCACGGAGACTTGCTCTCCCCTGATTGATTGGATTTAAATACATACTTCTTATAGTTATGATTTAATGTTTTGTAGCATCAAATTCCGTTAATACTAACCTGCATTGAACTGTCAGTTCGTCAGAGCAGTGTGGTGAATCGCCCTCCACCAATCACCCTTCCTGCTATAAACTAGTGAACTCAAGATTGAAAGATAGGTGTCTGGGGAGTTCTATTATTAAAATCTTTAAGACCATCTTAATTAGATAATTTATTTCTTCGGAAAAAGCTTGGTAGAAGTTTCATCTTTAATACGACAGAAATTCTTTTGACCTTCAAACGGATTTGCCAAACTTCACTGTCCTAGAACACTTGGGAAACATAAAAAGTTGGTGCTGTTAATTTGTAATTATCTAGTATATGGTTTCCTCCATTGTGTTCTACATCAAAAGAAGGTTTCTGTTGATGTATTTTACTTGTTTCTGTTGCAGAAATTTCGGCAAATAGCATTCGTGATTTCCTCCTCCCTGCCATACAAAACCTATTAAGGGACCCTGATGCACTAGATCCAGCACACAAAGAGGCCCTTGAAATAATATTGAAAGAAAGGTCGGGTGGAACCTTCGACGCTTTGAGTAAGGTTATGGGAGCTCACATCGGGATTGCATCATCAATGACTAGTTTCTTTGGTGAGGGTGGGCTGCTAGGCAAGAAAGAAAGTACTGCATCAACGAGTCCAGTTGGATCCCCTGCACCTGGGGCACAGTCACTTGCACCTGAGGATACCAGATTCATGCGCATCATGAGGGTCACCGACCGGCTTCGAGGCAAAGCAAAGAATCAAGATGAAACTCACCTGCAGAATCACTGAAAACAAGTCAGACTTCTTCTTCCCTAACTCCTTTATGAGGATGCTAGTAGCAGATGTCAATTCTTTGATTATAATTTTCTTTCATTCTTGCTTATCAAGGAAGAAAAAATGAGATGAGATTATGCGGACTGCAGTAATCTTTAAGCATTGCATTTAAGTCATAGGCAATGCATTTTTGTTGTTTTTCTAGCCACTCAACATTAATTAGTTTCCAATGGAAAAAATAGTTCAAGGTTAAGCAAACTAGTGAAGTTAATTCTGTTAATGGCTGATATAAATGAATTGAAAGCCATGAAGAACTTTCTGTCTAGGCAAGCCACAGGTTTTATAGATTTATTGGGCTGGAAGAACTGCCCTTGGGTTTTCAGTTCAGTCTGAGCCTGGTTGATTCTCAACAAGGTTTTTCTAATCTGATTTGTTCGGTTCAAGTAACTATTTAATTAATAAAAAATATTTAATTTTTCTAACTTGGTTAGGTTCTGTTCTTCAGAATGAACTTTCCACTATCAACTAAGTTTTTTACAAGTGGATCATGAGAACCTTTTGTTTGAAAATTAGAGTAAATAGAAAAGAGATGAACTGAACAGCCATACATTTTCTATTATCCTAAAAGCAAATGTTTGTTCAAGTTAAAATGAGACTTCACCGGAGTTATTTACATGGCATTCTCCATATCCAAGCATCTGATCATAATCAATGATATTAGCTGACAAGTTGATTTGTTCATGATTTGAGTCAACATCAAGCAAAATATTAATATTATTTTTGTCTATTCAAACAAATTTCAATATATGAATCATTTGTTCGAATTTCAATGAATATATGATTAAGATTAATATGAGTGTTGGCATTGGCTAAAACCCAACCTACACAAATAAAATGTTGTGAAGACGACCGGTTCAGATTTTCTCATTAAGAAAAGAATTGGTTTTGGAAAACATTCAGATATTGAACTCTGCTGAGGGACAAAATGTTTTCATCTGTTTATCCATAGTCCAAATATGATCCATAAACAAATTCGAATTCATCCCTTCCTCTCAACCACGGGTATAAATGGCGGTCGCCATCGGAATTGCAACCGTTATATAACGGTGTAGGTACCCGTCCAAATTCTTTATCTCATAACAGTGATACATGCAATGATCGCAACCCATTACCGAAAATGGGACCACGATTTAAATCCCTATCTCAACAATTTCATCTACAATCTAAAATCCAAAGAGTGATCCAATTCCATATTTGTTGAGTTCAATTTATTCTCGGTTCAAGTGATTTTGATTAGCACATGGCAACGAACTGTCCAAGAAGATATCCATTTATGAAGTCAAAACATAAACCATTTGATGTGCAGAACCGATTACCTCTACTTGTTGCGTTTAACAGCACGCCTTCCTTGGCCTTTCTTCGGTGGTCCCTTACCACGTCTCTTCAACATTTCAAGCTTCAATCGGCGCTCTTCTTCTCCCCGAGCCATGACACGCGGATCATCATTCTTGATGTCGTATGGGTACCATTCCGCAACCTTGTCGCCGATGAGCTTTTTGCGTAAAATCTTATGGGCTGAAATCTGCCCCGCCGGGTTAAGCATGTGTCCGAATATTCTACCTCGAGCTTCACTGACCCCAACTACAACAGCCGAGGCCAACATGCGTTTTAAACCACCCCCGCCACTCATCTTCCAATGGCTTCTGTTGAAGGTTCGAAATATGCTTTCAGCGATTTTTTTCTCACCCAAAACTGAATTTAAAAACCAGATTTATACCAGAAATTTACACAATCTATTCTAAAAAAAATATGTAGAAGAAGAAATCAAATCAAGTTTAGGGTTTTAAAAGTTACCTTATTTAATTTCTTGGTCAGCCGGAAAAATGAAGGCAAGGGACTTGTGTAGATGGAGGAGATGGGAGCGGTGAGAGGCTTGTTTGGGCGGCGGAGAAGTGTGATAAACAGAAGTAAGTGGTAGGATAGTAATATTTATAGTGATAAATTTATGGATAATGTACACAACAAGTCACTATACTGTTCTATTATGATCATTTTGACTACTAAACTTTCAAAACTTATAAAATAATTAATAAATTTATCAAATTATTACAAAAGGATAATTATATTTTATTAAAATATTATATAACAATGATTAAATTTTAATTAATTTTAAAAAATAATCATTTTATTTATATATTTACACTTATTATAAATATCACAATGATAAATTCGTAATAGTTTGATAAATTTAATGATCAAAGCAATCATTTGAATAAAACAATAAATTTATTAAACTACCGCAAAATAATCATTAAATTAAAAAAAATCACTTACTATACCTTTTTAAATATCAATGATCGAAACAATCATCTAAGCATAATTTAACGAACTATGGTGCTTTTTATTTTTAAAATATAAAAATTGATATTTTATATGAAATTTAGGAATTAATAAGTATTTTATATAAAATTTAAGGTCAAATTAATATTTTATCTAAAATCAAGAAGTTAAATTAAAATTTTAACTATTTTTATTAACATGATATGTCAACAAACCTAAAATAAAATTGACTAAAAATAGAACTGGCCAAAAATATTATTTACCAAAATATATATAAAGAAAGCACGAATTGAAGCACGACGTATTTGTAGACAACCGTTTTTAACCGGGTTTTATATATTTATTTTTATTATTATAATTTATTTATTTATTAATATATATATATATATATATTGTTTATAGATTCAACAAGGATCCAACCACCCACCATTATCTCATAACCAACCCCACCTCACACGTCTCAACTAAATCCACATATGTTTCCTTCTTTTTCTCTCAAAAATGAAAGTGGGAAGCTGGAGGCAGAGTTATTTATTTCAACGGGTGATTGGCAAAAGGAGAGGGGGGAAACCAAAATCAGAAGGCGCATCAAAAAGAAAGAGAGAAAGAGGTGCTGTGGCCTCTCGGCCATAGCACGAAACCACCCAATCATATTTTCCCTTTGACTTCAACATTTCCAGGATCTTTTCTCTTCCTCCGAAACAAGCCAGCGTCAATTCCAAGCAATGCAAGCAGAAACTACAGGAATTACAAGGACGTAAAATTTATTAACATGAAGACAGGGATTGTGCATGGGTGTTTGTTTCCAGTGGATCCATGGACACCAAATATTGACTCACAAAGCATTGCCTCTCAACTCTTCGCAGTTTCTTTGTTTTCGTACATTGGGTTATTGTACTTCATCACCAAGTCTGAGTCTGCTCCCAAGCTCACACTTGTTGGATTCTACTTCTTGCTTGCCTTTGCGGGTGCCACCAGGGGAAATACATGTTCGGCATAATGATGTGGCGCATTTGGAAACAACGTTGTGCTCTAATCTTAATCAAGAGAGCTAGTCAACAATGGCGATCATCCAAAACGCACGAGCCTGGGCTACCTCCATCGCTGCTAGATCGTTGAACCACGACCCAGTATCGTGTCGGCAAAGGAGACGCAATACTTGGTGTCTTTCTTCCCCGGTGAGCTCAAGTTAAATTTTGATGGTGTTGTGAATCCAAGATCGAGGGAAGCTGCTGGTGGGAGCATTCTTCGGGACCATGACGGTTATTGACATCGGAGGTGGACATGGAATCGATTACGACAGTTCAAAATTTGGGAATATCCGAGGATTACTCTTTCATTTGTGCGCAAATGGGTCTGATCTTGTTAATGCTCGTAAGGTTCTGGGTTCCCATGCAAAGTAGATTCCAGATGCTTGAATCTATGACCAAGTCTCCAAGGCCAACCCGGTCATTACGACCACCATACACACGAGCCCGTCGCACACGACCAAAAACAATGGCGAACGGCGGCACAATTTACTTACCGATGGGAGACTAACAAAGACTGCACGGCCAAGCGAAGAACTAAATAACGCTAAACGTGATGGTGACTAACTCCGACGACCCCGATATGCTACGGAAGATGGAGGTGCGGCGAGAATGAGAGAAGAGATAAAAGGAAATGGCACTACGTGGAAAGAAAAAGATAAACAAAAGCATTATGTTCAATGATACAAGGCTGGAGCAAGGGTTTGTGTGTTTTAAAAAAGAAAAGGGTAAACCAAAACAGAAATCCTTATATTTGCTAGAGTTTTCGAAAATGGACAAAGGTTTGCGTCTTTTGCATTTTTTTCATTTTCATTTTGATTTATTATTTTATTATTTTCATTTTTTGTACGTTTTTTTTATTTATTTAATATATTTTTTTTCTAATATTTTCGACTCTTTTATAAGAATTTCAACCAATCAAAGGTAAGTAATTTGAATCGAGTTTTTTTTTAATTTAAATTTAATTTTAATTTTTTTTTTCGCAATTAAAGACAATCGATAAATTAATTGGTACCGAAAGGGCGGTTCAAGGGTGCTAATCCTTCCTTGACCATAACCGACTCCCGAGCCCGACATATTTCTGGTAAGACGCAGATCAGGTAAGAAATAGGGTATCCGATCAACCCATTTGTTTTAAATAAATGATCGGTGGCGGCTCTAACCCACTCATTTCAAGTCGTAGCCCAATTCCGGGCCCAACCGAAAGACGGTCGCGACAGCTTGGCGACTCTGCTGGGGATCGATAAGTGAGTCAGGCCAGAATTAATTTTCGGTTGTCTTTTTATGCGAAAATTGTAACTTTTAATTTTAATTTATTTATTCGGTTCCAATTATTTACCTTTGATTATTTTTCAAATAAATAGTTGTACTAACATTTTTTAATGATTTCAGATTTTTCAAAGTTTTCTCAGGCTCTATACCCGAGCTCCAAACCCGTTTTAAGTGGGGGTGAAAGCGACGCCTTCGTGTGAATTTATTCACCGTGCGGGCCTAGCAAGTAGCCTTCGGGATTCATATACCTTATGTTTTCGTGTGAATTTATTCACCGTGCGGGCATAAGGGAATGTTTCCTCTCGAGTTTAACTTAGTCTACACAAGCCTGTGATGGGTTTAGGACTAAGGGTCTGGTAAGCCCAAGGGGGCACCAGCAAGGAGAACTCGGGTACCGTGTTTTAGAACCTAAACTGGGAGACTTTGAAGGAGTTAGAGCCCACCCCAAAACCTCATTTCAAACCCTAGGATGCTGGAATTATTTCCTGCTTTACTTTCTGTTCAAAGCATGTGAACTAGAAATTTATGCGGTTAGGACTTGTTCAAAATCACATGCGGGATAGAGATCATGTCCGGGTAGGAATAATAAGCATGTGGGGTAGATATCATGTGGGGTAGGACTTTTCATTTTCATTTTCATTTTTTTTATTATCCTTATCTCACTAACTTTTTTTTTCTCCTTTCATTTTCTGTTCTTTTGCATTTTTTTTGATCATTCGCATCATTAAAACGAGGTGTTGATCCACCAAAAATGTGTTTGTTAAACGTAAATAGTCTACATTAATGGACAAAGGGGTTATAATACAACGAGATAAAAAGCTCAGAAGTCCAACCGGGATTAAAGAATACTTAGAGGCAAAGGTTGCAGGGGCAAGACGAGGAAATGGTTATTGACCCGGAGAATCCTTTCAAAAATTACGAGAATAAGATGGTGAAACCCTAGCCAAGCTAGAGACCATTATTGATGAATTCCAAAAACAAGTCGACAAACTTCGGATGGAAGGCTCCAAAGACACTTTCGTTTGGAACGAGCTCGGCATAGAGTGAAGGCCGGAGATGCAGTCATTCGAGACCTTTTTTGGGGCAAGCAACTCGTCACCCGCACAAGTTTAGCCAAAGGAGCTGAAACGGTTTGACAGGATATTCAACCGGTGAAGAAGCGGAAGACGAATCAACTTGCCAGAGGCTGTGCGGGATCTATACCATCAAAAAGTTTTTTGTCTCTTCAGACGTAACATTTTTGTCCCTAATAAGGATTATTCAGAATAATAGGCACATTTTTCGGATCAATGCCTTGGACATTTCATGCTTCATGCATTTAAACATTTTGCATTTTGTTCATTTCTTTACATTCACATTAACTATCTTCACATGATTCATCAAAAAATGAGAACACTTCGACCCTATGACATATAAGGAGCTTTACCAACAGTTGTTCGACGCACATGTGGTGTCACCATATCCAGAGAAATCCATGAAGCCCCGTACCCCAGGTAGTATGATGAGAACGCTTATTGCAGCAGAGTCCCAGGGCGCACTATCGAGAATTACTCCACAATCAAGAGAATCATACAGAAAATACGTAACAAGAATCGGATCGACTTCAACAACTTGGGGGCATCCAAGTGAGGAAGACCATTTCATCATTTGAGACATTTTGTTTGAATTTGTTTTTTCATTTTTTTCTCAAGTTTTTATAAGGACTTTTAAATAAATTTATGTTACTTTAAATATGTTAAGCAATGGATCACATTTGCAAACTTGCAATTCTTTGAATATCATTTGAATTAAGAAACTCTGTTAATGGTTCAAAGTTACGGATCTTTGTCAAAGTAACATGATTTTAAAAAAAAGGACTTTGACCTTATCCAGAATATACCCTCAAACACCATACCCTGCTCTTGTAATTAACCAATATACCATTTTCCTTTCATAAGGTGCGGACAACATGGGGCATCATTTGCATATGACAATTACTATGTTTTTTATTTAAGATGTTCAATGACGATGATGATCTTTACAAATGAAAGAGTCGAGTATGTGAATCTAGTTTAGGTCAATTGCTTGAAAATTAAACTCTAAAGATGAAATTTTTGACTTTCAACAAACACCTAGGCTATAACAGGTTCTTCTTGACAATCTTAAGAAATTAAAACCGTAAAGCTGAGCTATTCCACTAAGGCAATTGGTTATAGAGGAAACTTGAAAGCCCTGGTCTTATGAGTAGATTACGTTCAAACCATGACATTGCTCGGACACTTGGCAATTCGGTGTTTGCTCCACTGCTCTTGTCCGGCTGAAGA